GCGGCCGCCCACCCTGGCCCGCGGCCATGCCGCCCACGACCAGGTTGGAGCGGCCCCTCCTCGCCCTCGCCCCCCCCTCCTCGCCCTCGTCCTTCGCCTTAGGTCGGGCGCGTCCCTCTGCAAGAAGAGTATCCTATTCAGAAGTAGTCAGAAATAGTCGGGGCACGAGGTTTTGAGTCTTTGTCTGACCAGTGGGGGGCATGTTTTGAGTATGTCTTACTGTTCGTCCAAGACCCCCAGGCCCGACTCGACCTTCGCACCCTCCTCCCCCTCCTCGCCCTCGCCTCCCGCCTCCGCCCGCGCCTCCACGGGCGCCGCCCTGCCCGCGACCCCTCCCGCCCGTGGAGCGAGCCCTCGACCGCACCGACGGGCATCGCCGAGACGAGCGCGCCGCCCGGCGAGCCGCCGCGCCCCTGCCCCGAGGCCCTGCCGCCGCGGGGCCGCCCGCTCTGGCACGGCGGCGGCGCCGAGGGCCCCCGCCGCTGCAGGCGCGGCGCGGGGCGGCCGCGCGGGTCGCCTCCCTCCCTCCCGGCTCCCCGCTGCGCGCTGCCGCTCCGCCTCCCCTCCGCCCCTCTCCTCGTGAGGGCATCCCCGCCCCCTTCCCTCCCTCGCTCTCTCTCTCTCTCTCTCTCTCTCTCTCTCTCTCTCCCCCTGTGTTGTGTTTTGTGCCCTCTTCGTTTCTCTTCTCTCTTCTCTCTTTTCTCTGCTCTCTTCTCTCTCCCTCTGTCTCTCTCTTTCTCTCTCCACACATGTACGTTGCGTTCTCTCTCCTCTGCCTCCTTCTTTCTCTCTTTCTTTGTGTGTTTGTTTCTCTCTCTCTCTCTCTCTCTTTTTGCTTTTCTCTCTCTCTCTCTCTATGTGTACATAAACGAACACCGGGCGACCAGATCCCCGGGCCCAGAGCCCCCCACTTTTTCAAATTTGCACCCCCCACACACCGCACCAGACTGCAGTCCCTGGAGCGATGCTCCAGGGCCCTAGGCCCGTTGGGTCTCCAGGACGGTCCCAGAGGATGCCAAGAGTCTGGTTGACTCGAAAGTAGGTCCAGCGAGAAGGGGGTGGTACAATAAAATGATGGGGTTGCAATGCATGTGGGGTGGGTGTGCAATACATGCCGCTGCGCAGATGTATTGCTGCATTTTCGCGTGCGATACATTAGGTGCGATACAATGCAAAACAAATGTCTTGCACACTACACGCGCACGACAATTGGCCAAAATACATTGCACCACCCCCTTTCACCTGGCCCCCTTTTGGGCCACGAGGAAAGAGGCCGCTAACATTGACCAGCGTGAGGACCGCGCCAGCGGGTCTAACAGGTCTCGCGGTATGGCCTCGAGAGGCCAATTCTGTTGAGTTCCCGTTTGTTTGTTCAAGTTGTTTGGTTCCAAGAGGTTTCCCCGAGGGCCCCTAACGGCCCACACCACTACATCAATGTAGGGGAGCCAGTAGTTTTTCAAGTTCCCGCTTTTTCGCTTCCGAATGGCTTCTGTTGCAGGCCTAGAGGTTGACACCAACACCAATATCGGCGGTGTTTCTCCACCGAGGGAAGAAGATCCCGATCTCAGTGATGGTGGTCATACTCTGGCTTCCAAGCTAAACGAAATATTACCACCAACACCGAAATCCAGGATCATTGTCGACTCGACGGGACATCAATTCTGGGTTTAATCGATTTTGTTGACGCCCTCCTACTCGAAGACTCGGTTCATGTGTGTGTGTGTGGTCTCGTGGTCTCGTGGTCTCGGTGTCCTCTTGCCTCCTACCCTTCCTCTTCAACATGCAGCAGGATTGGCTTCCTTGGCGAAGGGCAGCCTGGCCCAACCCCAACGGACCCGTTGGACGGAGGAGGAGGAGGAGGAGTAGGGCGAGGTTGAGGAGGAGGAGGAACCGATGGGGTAGGAGGAGGAGGAGGGGAGGGGGAGTGGGAGCAGGACAAGGAGAAGGATCGAGACGGAGGATGAGGAGAGGGAGCAGCAGGAGCGGAACAAGCATGCAGATGGGAAGGAGGAACACTTTTCCAAGTAGGGTATGCACCTGTGTCAGACGCCCCAAATTGCCATGCCATCAGTACCATGCGCGCGCAGGCCAATTTGAGCACACTGGCAGCAGCCGCAGCACCAGTGTGACGCATCATGGTAAGGATTAACGATGACAGCTCCGTTACTGTCTACACGCCAGGCTCCACTTGTAGAGGCACAATAAGGTCACGCTACCTGGCTGCTGGGCGCAGTAATTCGACCTGCCCCATTCGCGTTACTGTTACTGGCTTCATGTTTACATATGTGAGGAGTCTGTTATTGCTACATGTTGCTACTTTCATCTTTCCAATGCCTGTTCGCCAACGCGCCCCAGCCTGGCACTTGGTGTCCCCTGTTGACCGCTTCTGTTCATCCGGCACTTGCCTGCCAGCCGTAAGGAGGCCACTCTGCCCGTGTCGGCTTTTTTTTGTTTCCTATTCGCCAGGGCAATCCGATCATCAATTGCCAGCGCCAGGCAAGCAAGACGGGAGACGGGTTCAGTAGCGCTGAGGGTCAGAAAACGCTTTCTTCTGCAGGGCCACCACAACGGGGACGTCAAGGTGGTCGAACGCCTCGCCGTTTAAGCCGACGAAGGCGTGCAACTTCCAGCCATTCGTTGATGACCCGAATTTGAGCTTGACGCCGAGTGTGGTGCATCAGGTGCAGCTTGACCTAACAGGTTGGTTGCGCACCTTGACGTCCGTTTGGGGTGTTCTGCAGACCTGTCCCCCCAGCCCTATTCAAGAGAAGGGTCGAGGACATATGCCGACCCCCCGCTTGGCGGGGCTGAGCGCTGTGAGGTATTGCTGTACTGGGGAACCGCCCCGCGCCACGTTCTCGGCAGGGGGCGCTCCCTGCATGCGCGTGGAGCGGTGTCGGTGCCCTTCCTGTCCCCACCGTCCTCCCTCCCTCCCTTCCTCCTCCTCCTCCTCCCTCCCCCCCTCCTCCTCCTCCTCCTCCTCCTCCTCCTCCTCCTCCTCCTCCTCCTCCTCCTCCTCCTCTCCTCCTCCTCCTCCTCCTCCTCCTCCTCCTCCTCCTCCTCCTCCTCCATCCTCCTCCGCCTCCTCCTCCTCCTCCTCCCTCTCCCCTCCCCCCCTCCTCCCTCCTCCTCCTCCCTCCCTCCCTCCCCTCCTCCCCTCCTCCCCTCCTCCTCCTCCTCCTCCTTCCTCCTTCCTCTCCTCCTCCTCCTCCTCCTCCTCCCCCTCTTCCTCCCCTCCTCCTCCTCCTCCTCCTCCTCCTCCTCCTCCTCCTCCTCTCCTCCTCCTCTCTCCTCCCCTCCTCCTCCCCCTCCTCCTCCTCTCTCCTCCTCCTCCCCCGCCTCCTCCTCCGCCTCCCTCCTCCTCCTCCTCCTCCTCCTCCTCCCTCCTCCTCCTCCTCCTCCTCCTCCTCCTCCTCCCCCCCCCTCCCTCCTCCCTTCTGCCCCCTCCCTCATCCCTCCTCCCTCCATCCTCCTCCCGCCTTACCCACCACTCCCACCTCCTCCCTCTTCCCCCCCCTCACTCCTCCTCCCTCCTCACACCTCCTCCCATCCCCGGGTTTGTTCCGTCTGCTAGAACATTGTTCGGCTAATTCTTACTGATCCTTACCATAAAGAGGCAGGGCAGAGAGGCAGGCTCGACTTAGCAGCAGTAAGGGAGTAGAGGGGCGAATCAGTGACAATGGGAAGCACGGGGTAGAGCATCCAGGGTGTGATGCAAGGCCAGGTAACGCAAGGACCCCTGGGATGCCAGACATTTCAAGGGAGGGAAGGTGCCCACGATGAAGGTCTTGTGATGCTCCCACCGCCATGACCTGCCCCCACCTCCACATATCCCACGACATCCCCCCTAAGACTCGCCGAAAACGACCGAGACCACTCCAAGGACCTCACCGACACGGTCAACCATGTTCTTGTAGGGCCGACCGTTTTTCGGAGGGTCGGAGGGGCATTGGGTCTCCACCTTGCATCCCTCTCCTTCGGCCCATCCTCGGCCGATGTTGCTGGCCGCGCCCTGCCCGCAGAGTGCCGACATGGCCTTCCGGGGCACTTGCATCCTTGCTGCGCATCCTTATACGGGTTGACTGTATTGCGATCGCCGCCAATGACCCCCCACCCGCTAGAGGCTGGCGCCTTGAAATAGTCAGCCTCCTTCTAAGAAGCAGCTTCCTTCTATGAAGCAGCCTTTTCTAGACGTGAGGCCAGCGCCTTCTAAGAAGCAGGCTCTTTCTAAGAAACAGCCTTCTATGCATGTGAGGCCAGCGCTTTCTGAGAAGCAGCCTCCTTCTAAGAAGCATTCCCCCCTCCCCCTACTGCGCGCGCCGCCAACTACCCCGAAATTCACAGTAAAAGGGGGGTGGTCTGATTTCGGGGGTCGTCTGGTTGGAGTTGTCATGGAGGGTTCCAGTGGAGTCTGTGCAAAAGGCCGCCCTTTCGTGGCCGATCGTGGGGGGGGTCTAAAACTGTTCGTTTGGGAGGCCTGTGACCCTCCCTGGTATCACGAGATCTGGAATAACCGAACCTCCCTCGAAGATCCTCGGAGCCGGGTCAATCCCAACCCGGGTCAGTCAGGCTGAGCAGGATCCCGCAAGATTTTGCGGTATCTTGCAGGATGCTGCACCCAAGACCGAGTCAATGCACCCCTGGCCCTGCAGGATCCCGCAAGATCCAGCGCTCTGACTGACCCCCGCTTGAGGAGGAGAAGGAGGAGGAGGAGGAGCAGAAGGAGGATGAGGAGGAAGAGGAGGGAGGGGTGGGAGGGAGGAGGAGGAGGTGGAGGAGGAGGTCCAGGAGGAAGAGGAGGAGGAGGAGGAGGAGGAGGAGACGGGAGGGGAGGAAGGAGGAGGAGGAGGAGGAGGAGAGAGGAAGCCACTTCCCTTTTTCTTACGGGATCTGGAGTACCCCTTCCCCGGCCGAGGCGGCGAGGCGGCGCGGCCCCGCCCACGCCCGCCGCCGCGGCGCTCGCGCGGCGGCGGGCGCAGCGCCCCTGGCCGCGCGGCGCCGCGGCGCGCGGCAAGCGGGGCGCGGCCGCGGCGGAGGTGCGCCGCTCGAGGGTTCCAAATGTCCTCCTCCTCTTCGTCCTCCCCTCCTCCCTCCCTCCTCCCTCCTCCCTCCTCCTCCTCCCTCCTCTTCCTCTTTTCCTCCTCCTCCTCCTCCCTCTCCTCCTTCTCCTCCTCCTCCTTTTCCTCCCTTACCCCCTCGTCCTCCTGCTCCTCCTCCTGCTCCTCCTCCTCCTCCTGCTCCTTCTCCTTCTCCTCCCCTCCTTCCTCCTCCTCCGCCTCCTCCTCCTCCTCCTCCTCCTCCTCCTCTCACCGCGGACTCTGGTTTTGCGCCCTCCCTGGTGGCAGAACGCCGCTGGGGGGGGGGGGGTCGGCTGCGGCCGCCGCCAGTGCCACAAGCTCCACCACCAGGGTCCTCAAGCTCCTCCCTCCTCCCACTCCTCCTCCACTGTCCTCAAGCTCCTCCCCCCTCCTCCTCCTCCTCCCCTCCTCCTCCCCTCCTCCTCCTTCCTCCTCCTCCTCCTCCCTCCTCCTCCTCCACCTCCTCCTCCCCCTCCCATCCTGTTTCCTCCTCCTCCTCCTCCTCCTCCTCCTTTCTGGCGTCCTCCTCCTCCTCCTCCCTCTCCTCCTCTTGCTGCTCCTCCTTCTTTTTCGTTGTGACCCCCACCCCCATTCGAGCAAGGAGTTCCACTGAACTATTGATTCAACGGTCGGTCGTTGAAAGTAGGTATATCATATTTCCCAGATCCCAATCACCTTCTAGAGCCTTCCTACGTCAAGACTCGGCATGTGTTTGATGGGTTCTTCGATTATCGGGGATGACCCGAGCCCAATCTACTTTACGCAAACATACACGTACACGTACACATACACGTGCATTAATCCATTATGGTTTCGAGAGTACGCATCGTACGAACGTTGGTATCACGAGTCTTGTCTCGTGGGCTGCGGGGGGGGCGTATTCGTTTACGTGGTTGGGCGCGTACGTTTTTGTGGGTTCATTAGCCCGATGGGTCAAGTACGACGTCGACTACAGCGTTGATTTAGCCAAAATGTGATGTTTCCCATCGAATCTGCGACACAGACGTAGCATGTTAGTAGATGTACTAAGCATTTGAGGTATTTTTTTCGTGCAGGCGACCAGACAATCAAATTTCGGGTGAATGAATGTTGCATTCGATTCCATACTCGAACGGGGGAGGTGGTCGCCACGAAGGGGAGCATGATGAGAAGGAGAGATGAGAAGGAAGACGCCATGTAGAGGAGGAGGAGGAGGAGGAGGAGAAGGAGGAGGAGGAGGAGGAGGGGGAGGAGGAGGAGGAGGAGGAGGAGGAGGAGGAGGAGGAGGAGGACGAGGGGGAGGAGGAGGAGGGGGAGCAGGGGGAGGAGGAGGAGGAGGAGGAAGAGGAGGAAGAGGAGTAGGAGGAGTAGGCGGAGGAGGGCACAGGAGGAGGAGGAGGAGGAGGAGGAGGGTGAAAAAGAAGAAGGCCAGATTTGGGATACACCCCCCGCACTTGCCCGCGCGCGCTGCGCGCCTGGCGGGCCGGCATGTTACAACGTCTGACAAGGGATACAGTTTCGATCCGACGACGTGAGTATCATTGTTACGACCACCCTCGCGAAGGCGTCCAGGCACGAACTGTATAACAAGCAGCCCAAGACCGAGAGCAAGCTGCGTGATGAGCTGCGTAACGGGCAGCCCGAGGACGAGAACGACCACCACTGGGACACCAAGTACGCCACCAAGATCAAAACTAAGAACGACCCGCCCGAGAAGCCGGAAGGGGTTACGACGCACGTCGTCGTGGAGGTGCCGGTGGACAATAGCCGCGCCGACCAAGGAGAGTACGAGTGCGACGCGTATAACGGGCAGTGCGAGTACACTTGCTACGACGGAAGCACCGCGTACGGCGTCCTCCCCCTGCACTCTGTTTCCACTTCCACGAGGGCTACAAACGAAGGTGCGAGCTCCACAAGCAGAGCTGCCAAGGTAAGCGGCCACGCGGCGTGAGCCACCAGGTGAGCTACGAGGGTAAGAAACAGAGCCCCCAGAACCACCCCCCTTTGCTGCGAGGGCCACAAGCGCCGCTTCGAGAACCACCAGTTGCGCACCGTGGGCCACCAGCACGGCTTCGAGTTCCACCAGTCCAACGTCGAGGACCACCAGTTGTGGCACTAGGGCCACCGACAGAGCTACTTGTGCGTGACCAGTACGATATCTTGCATGACGGTGGCACCCTGAACGTGGAACACCACGATTTGGCAGCCGGGGACTCCGACTTTGACCTCGTGGGCCCCGACGTCCAGACAGACGTGCAGGTGGACGTGCTGTGTTACTGCTTGATGGACCAGGTGTTCGAGCACGATGAGGGGATCCAAGCTCCGCGTCGGGAACCAGCGGAGCTCCGACGACCAGCACACTGACGAGAACTTCCGGGAGACTTTCGAGCCCAACCAGCCGAATTTCGCGACACAAATATCAGGAATGTAGGATTATCCGCGCGAGGGGCCCAACCATATGCAGTTGTGGGTACCGTCGTCGCGGGTATTGCCTTCGGGAGATTTCTTCATGGGGCCACGAAGCACGCGAAGGGTGCGCCAATGAGGGGGCGAGGCCGCCATCTGGCGCTGCCGCTGCGCGCGCCATTGGGACCTTCGGTGGAGCTCCCCATGGGGCCACGAACCGCTGCACTCGGAAGGGGAGACGCATGCGAGTGCAGCCACCGAGGCCTTCGGTGGAGCCCCCAATGGGGCCGTGAATCGCAGTTGGGCTGGGGAGACGCATGCGAGAGCAGCCACTGGGATCTCGGTGGAAATCCTTCAGGGGGCACGAAGCGCTGTTTTGGACGTGGGAGGTGCATGCATCATTGTGCTGGGTGGGGGAGGCGCATGCGAGCGCAGCGACTGGGGGGCACATGCGAGCTCCGCCACTGAGGCCTTCGGAAGAACTCCCTATGTGGCCGCGGAGCGTTGTACTGGGCGGGGGGAGTATGCGGTCGCAGCCACTGGTGCCTTCGGTGCAGCTCCCGATGGCGGTCGCGAAATTTTGTGAAAGGCCGGGGAGACGCAGGCGAGCTCCGCCACCGGGACTTTCGGTGGAGCTTCTTTTTGGGCCACGGATCGTTGCAAAATTGGCCCAGGGGGACGCGGGCGAGTGCAGCCCCTGGGGCCTTCGGTGGAGCTCCCAATGGGGCCACGGAGCGTTGTGCTGGGCGGGGGACACGCGTGCGAGTGGAGCCACAGGGGCGTCCGGTGGAACCCCCCATGTAACCCTTGAAACGTTGTGTTGGGCGGGGGACGCGCATGCGAGTGCAGCCGTTGGGGCCTTCGGTGGGGCTCCCTACGGGGCCACGAAGTGCCGCGCTGAGCACAGCCACTGGGGCCTTCGGTGGAGCTTCTTACGGGGTCACGGAACGGTGTAATGGGGGGGGGGGGGGGGGCGCATGCGAGTGGAACCACTTGAGGCCTTCGGTCGAGCTCCCTATGGGGCTACGGAACTTTGTGCTGGGCGGGGGGGGCGCATGCGAACGCAGCCATTTGGGCCTTCGGTGGAGTTCCATGTGAGGCCACGATACGTTGTACTGGGTGGAGGAAACGCATATTGATGAGGGCGTAGGCAGAGAAGACGGAGGGAGGCGAGAGAAGGGGGAGGAGGGCAGGTGGTTGCGCGGGGCGTTTTTTTTTTTTTTTTTTTTTTTTTTTTTTTTTTTTTTTTTTTTTTTTTTTGTTTTTTTCAAAACAACAAATAAACACAACTACTGAAGTCGGAGGACAAGAACCAGCCCCGGCAATCAACACAAGCCGACAACCCCCTCCCCCCCCACACTGCAGTGATTGGTTTTGTAGCAAACTGCCACCAGGTATTACGAGAGCCGCATGCAGAACCATCATGCCATTTCTGGACAACGAGGGCCACAAGCAGGGCCACGAGGGCCACGTGCAGAAAGACTACATCCGCCAGCGGGGCTAGCAAGACCACCAGCAGACCCTCGAGTACCACACGTTGAACTACGACGAGGGTCACAGGCACCGCTACGAGAGCAACCTCCGGAGCTGCGAGGACCGTGAGCTCAACGACGGTGGTCACAGGCAATTCAACGAAGGCCCCCAGCTGCATTAGGAGGGCTCCCTGCTGAGCTACAAGAGCCGCTTACGGAGCTACTGGGGCCACTGGTACGAAGGCCACCAGCACAGGTACCAGGGCCACGGGTTGACCTGTGATAACCTCCACCTCAGCTGCGAGGGCTACCAGCTGAACATTTGCGGACCACAAGCTGCGCCCCAACAGCAGCGAACGCGGAGGAGCAGCGGGGGCGCTTCATTAGGCCCACGTTCTGCCACGCTCGGTGGCCCAGGCTATGCCAGGTTCTGTCGGGCTCTGAGCTGTGTTGGCACCGACTCGTTCACCGAATCCGACGGGATGAGCTATGGACGCGCTGTTCGCTGGTGGGCAGTGCGCGAGCGCAGAAAACAAACATACGACATCGCCACCAGCATTCACGCACGACATTCAGCAAGCAACCGCCACAGTTGGTGTCCCGATGGTGTCGCGACCGTACACAACACCACGCACTGTGAGACCGACATCGAGGTCCATAGTTGGATCCATCGATATTGGGGTTGGCCGCGAGGTCGATCGTGAGATCGGTCGATGGTAACTTCGATCGAGTGGGGCCAGAGGCGAGGTTGCATCGCGACGCGGGATCGTCACCTCGCGCCGTCGCTAACTCGAAGGAGCACCGCCAGCATCGCCATCATCCATCGCAGTTGTCGTCAGTTGTTGTTTCTTCCCCAAAACATCCTTCTCACCCGAAGGGTGGTCGGTCGAATAGGTATGGATCTGCCCCCCCCCCGGCGAAGGGGCAGGGGGCAGAATCGAGCGGGGCCTTGGCGAGACGGGTCCTGAGGTTGTTCGCCGCTTGTGGGCTCCACTTCGCCCTATTGTCGCGTCGGCACGCGACGTGTGGTGGGAAGCTGTTGTCCCGGAGAAAAAATATCCAGGCCCTGTTTCCTTCGGTAGTGACTCATGGGAGCGTCGT